AAGCATGCCCCCGTCACACAGAGCGACGTCGGCCGAGTCCCTGGGCCGCACACAGCGGTCTCTGGGACTATCTCATGGGAGTCCATGTCACGCCACTCGATATCCGTCCCTTCAGCGGAGGCCCCACCAATCACAACTCTAAAGGGAACACCATAGCCACAACGCGACAAGACCTCGATGATGCCCCGACGAACTCACCTGTCAGCCCGCGGTATGATACCGACTTTCCGGCCCACCGTCGCACCAGTGAGGACCGAGTCACCAGTAATCATGACACTATCGATACCACCAGCCTTGAGGCACTCAATGTGGCGTTTGGAGTCCGGCTTGAGCTCATTGCGGAACAGCAGCAGTCCCAACAAAGACAGGCCCGACTCCAACTCCTGACGAGAGGCCGATCGACCTGATTATACATACAGAAGATTATTCCATCCATACCACAACAGCCCCACCTTTCGACCCCCCACTGAGCTTCCGAGCAGCAATAGCCAGCACATAGCACCCTTCAGCAGCGTACTGCTCGGCCGCCGAGACCACGAGGCCTTCGAAGACCTCACGAGTATCCGATCCTGCACTCTCCTCCCCACGATGGAAGTTGCACCTACACTCGCCCCGTCCAGCACTGCGATCAAAGCGCTACCGCCTCCAACCAGAGGCTCAAAGACCCCTTGGTACCCTTACCTCGACAGGACAGCCTCATGGGAGCCCTTGCAGAAGACGTAGGCCTCCCCACTCTCCATATTCTGTATCACCACACTCATGGTCATAGTGTGGTGATCGAAGGCATTCTGCTTCAACACCTCCCACTTGCCCAAGCCTGCCCCACCACTACCGACCCACCAACCTCCCGACACCTCCCACCTGCCGGCTCCTCTACGATGGACATATCGCTGTTGTAGACCCAACCCAGCGACATCGCTGCTTCTACCATGCGCAACTCGACCTATCAAACACGCCTCTAGCCGACACAGATAAGTGAGCACCCACCTGATGCCCAACACGCTGCTTAGCTCCGACGACGCTGACCGTGTGGGTGAGAGCCAGACCAGGACCAAGTAGGCCTTCCATCCCACTCGTCGGAGGTCCTCCAGAGAACGATAGCAACTTTGGTTGGGCAGTGGGCCTCCATATGAACTCATCACAGACAGCACCAACCCGCCACTTACTTGTGGGCATCCACTCTAACGATCCCTACGAAGTCGAGACCAGTCTTGGTCAGAGTTCCCGTCTTATCGAAACACATTTGG